TTCTCTACTCTCTTCAAACCTATTTTATATATTATTAATGTACTTTTTATACTTAAAAGGAGTTCTGGTGGCATAGTGCCTAAGGCATCTGACTGCTGACCAGAAGTTTGGTGGTTCAAACCCACCAGCCATTCTGCAGAAGGAAGACTGGGCAATCTATATGCATAAAGACTTACTACCTTGGAAACCCAAAGAGGGTCACTAAGAGTCATAATTGATTCGATGGCAGTGAGTTGGGGTTTTCTTTGGTTATATAGTTAATGTAGCTTAGGCAGTATGGAAGGGATTTTTAATACCATGTTAAATATAATATTTTTACATAAATTTATTTTAAAATAGAAGTATAGGTATAAATTTTAGAAATGTTTACTAATCTACACTTTTTTTTCTCATCCATGCTTTGAATAAACCTAGCCAGTGAGCCAAACATAAAAACATTGAACTTGGTAGCAGGTGAATTGTTCCCTAACAGGAAATGAGAAGTCACAGAAATACCAGCCAACTAAACCCAAACCTCTGATGTAACACCAATAGTATACTATTCAACTCAGTAAATCATTTAGAAAAACACTAATATATGGATCCTACATTTGCTTTCAGTGGTGAGATTGTCAGACTCTTTTACTCCAGCAAAACCCTTTATTTATAAAAAATTAGAACTCAATATAAAGACTCTAAAACTGCTTTGGTTGATTTGGAGGTATAGCCTGGAGCCCCTTTGGCTTCACTTCCTTCTCCCTCTATGAAGTGGCACCTCCAAGGTACCCCAGAGCTCCACCATGCTCAGTTTAGAAACTCCTAGCTTGAAGCATTATGGCAATGAGGCCAAGGTCATAGTCTCAGTGGTCTCTCTCCCATTACAAACACAGTACATTTTGTGGTGTAGGATGTATACAAAATTGATAAACAAAAGGAGATTACTTTTATCACTACCTTTAACTAACCATCCTGTGTTATAAGTGTGTAGCCACATTACAAATAAACCAAGAGTGACTGTGCAAAACCTCTCCAAATTACAACTATACGAGTTGATTCTGACTCATAGTGACCCCCTTTGGGTTTCCGAGTTGGTAAATCTTCATGGAAGTGGATTGCCTAGTCTTCTGGTGGCATAGTGCCTAAGGCACTTGACTGCTAACCAGACAGCTGGCAGTTCAAACTCACCAGCCACTCCTTGGCAGGAAGGTTGGGCAATCTACTTCCATAGTGATACTGCCTTGGAAACCCAAGGAGGGGTTCTATGAGTTGGATCTGACTCAACGGCAGTGAATTTGGTTTTTGGTTGGCTTCTGCGAGTGGCTGGTGGGTTGGAACTACCAACCTTCTGATCATCAGTCAGATGCCTCAGGCACTGTGCTACCAGAACTTTGTCTATCAAGGACCCTTTATTTTACTGAAGTAGAGATAACAAGTACCTGTTAATGGTGCTATTAATGAGAATGTAACATCTGTTATAGGGTCAGGCATGAAGCCCTCCCAGGATCCTTCCAAACCTGAGTTCCACATTCTCTCTGCTAGAATAACACCTCAGATAGACATTTAGCAAATTATAGTCTCAGAGCATGGCTTGTTTCTCTGTGATCTAGTGGAATGTTTGCAGATTCCCAGAGTCAAAGTCAAAAGAAATTATATATATATAAAATAAATTCATAGGAAGGGTTATGTATAAGATTTCTAAGATCACAGTGGCAGTAATTCCTTGATAATCCTCTCCACTTCCCTCATACTTTCTACCCCCAGCACTACCATCCCCCCTGTGAAAAGACCACCTTGTCTCCTACTTCACAGAGAAAATCAAAGCCACAGGCAGGAATTGCCTCAAGCTCCTGATACTGATCCTGCAGGCCCACCAGAATCTACACTCTCTTTTCTTCTTCCCTCCTTCCCAGTGAAAAGATACCCCTGCTCCATGCCTGATCCCCTCACCTGTGCCCTGGATTCCCCTCTTCCCACCTCCCTAATACTTGGCTCCATCAATTATCTCCTCCTCCTCCTTTATACACCTTCTCTGCTACCTCCTTCCCATCAGCATTTTAACCTGCTCAAATGTCTCCTGACTTAATGGACACTCCAGCTATTGTCCTATGCCCCTGCTTCCCTTCACAGTCAAGCTTAGTTGAGGAAATTGTGTCTACATTCTCGAATTCCTGTTCCTTGCCTCCCATTCATTCCTCAGAGAGGTTGCACTACAAGGGTCACCAACAGTTTTTTACTGCTAAATACAATGAGCATCTTTGACTTCTCAAAAACATCTAACTTTTGGGAAAAAAAAAAATTCTTATAAAGAAAAGCAACAAACAAACATCATTTAGTCAACAAGTGTTTATTGAGTGCCAAGAACTAGCACTAAATAGCCATAGCACTAGTAGCAACAAACAGGTCTCAGCAATCATGGAGTTTACATTAAGAGGGGAAGGAGAGCCAAGCAACAAACAAATAAATAAATGAAAGATAATCCCAGAGGTTATAATTGCTATGAAGACAAACAGAACCAGAGTCACTGAATAGAAAGTAAGCAGAAAACAACATTGAGTAGTCAAGGAGAGCATCTCTAAGATTATATTTGAAATGAAGGTACCTGTGTGAAAATCAGGGACCAGAGCATCACAAGTAGAATGAATAACAAGAACATAGCCCTGAGATGGGAACAAGCACCAAGTACATATGATAATATAGTGTTTACATGTACAAAAGGAGAGAGCAGAAAGAAGCAGGAAAGTATAGTACTGCTGGATAGGGAAGGGTTTCCGAGTCACAATGGGAGTGGACCAGGCCTGGAAGATCAGTGCACCTTGTAACCTTATGGGACAGGGCCTGACTCTCCCTTCTGTGCATTGAGCTGCTAAGTAGGAAAGCACTGGAGAGATTGAGGAGGAGTCAGCAAGGACCTACTGCCTGTGTCTTTCACCTTAAATCCCAATTTTAAGTGCCAATAAATAAGTCAGCCAAGTGTGGGCTTAACACAAGCTGGAATGGCTTCTAGAGTGAATTCAGCTGGAGCCTGAGCAGAGATGGAGCCTTTCCAATCCCTCCCTTCCATCCCCTATCTCTGGGCTGAGTAGAGAAACTGCCTCAAGAGGGCCACCTACCAGGCCTACAGTGGAAGCCTAAGTCAAAGCCACACCCTTGAAGGGAGTGTTAGAAGTGGTCTTTTCTCAAGATCTACCTGTAGTGATCAAATGCCCCAAGGAAGAATGAAACCCAGCATGGAAATTGGATGGGCTCTCCAGTATTTGTGGCTCAGGTAGAAAATTAGAGCCCAAAGATATTTTCCTGAAGCTAAGTGCCCCCAATACACACACACACACACACACACACACACGCACACTTCAATCTCCATGACACAACATGATTCAGGGATGATCCCTTTGCCTTGGAGGTAGGGGGAGAGGAAACTTACTCCCCAAAGCAGTGTATGTGTATTAGCATGTGGTAGACAAACCAAACCAAACTCACTGCCATCGAGTCAGATATGACTCATAGAGACCCTTCCTTGGGTTTCCAAGGCAGTATCACTATGGAAATTGTTTTCCCAATCTTCCTTCTGAGGAGTAGCTGGTGGTTAGCAGCCTTCTGATTAGCAGTCAAATGTCTTAGGCACTACACCACCAGAGTTCCTTGGGTGTGGTAGAAGTAGGAGTTTATTCTATGGCTCTGATCAGAGGAAGCCCATGATTTCTTTTAGAGATCTTTAGAGCCCATGAGATATTTTTTAGAAATCAAAGTCTGGGGCTACAGGCAGTGGGAGCAAAACAGAGAGAAGAGAGATCAGCCCCAACTCTGTCCCATTATAATTGGTTTCAGATCCCCCACACACCAGGGAATGGCCTCCTACACAGACATAGAAGTCTTAGACTGCTTAAACTCCTCCAACTCATCCCTTCTGCCACTGAACTCTCCCCATCTTCCAAGACCAAGTTCCTCTCCTATTTTTCCTGATCCTACTACACCATTAGACTGAAACTGTAGAGGAGCCTAACTAGGAAGAACATTGAGGGACCAGGCCTCAGCCCTCCCCAGGTATATAGGGGACTTCAGTCTGGAAAAAACAACCCTCTAATGAAAGTGCCCCAAGGCCATCTGCCTGTGTCCCAAGGTGAGGAGGAGTGGAAGGCCATCATCTCCTGTCTCGTGGAGGTCCCAGCCAGCAGCCCTGCCACCAAGATTCCTCAGGAGAGGGGATGAGTAGGGCTTCATGGTTGAAGCCAGAACACTTGTTCTGTCTGAAAAGTAATTCAGTTTGAAAAGTAATTCATTCCGGAGATGGCCCATCCAGATGTACTGGGCAAGTTTCAAAAGCAGTGCTTAGAGTTTTTGCTCTCATTGAGGCTGGGACCAGGAGACAATGTTCACAAATTTCCATATGAGAATGGAGGCAGAGACCATGGGGAGGGAAATGGGAGAGGGCAGCTTCCTAATGCCTTTACTCTCTGCTTCTGACACTGCATATTGGCTACAGCTCACATGTGGACTTAGACAATCCCCACCCTCCCTGGGTATTTGCATATCTGGACTATATAGCAGTGTAAGTAATATCTTGCTCAGAAAAGAACTTGAATCTTTCCCATGGGTATGGCTCTGCCTGTGGGCTGGTACAGGATAAAAAGATCAGACTTGGCAAAAGGGTGCCAGGGGAAGAGGGGAGCACAGGTTTGGAGGACAACACATGGGCTGGCACTTGAACCCATCCTGATCAAAGACCTTGGAAGCTTGTGGACATTCCAGGGAAGGAAGGACTTCAGGTGAAACCAAAGAGCTGTGTCACTGAGCTCTGGTATGCTTCTGGGGACCCACCTATTGGAGATGCCCCTTCTCACCTCCAGGCAGGTTGCCCCACGGTCCCCACACCATGGGGATTGTGGGCATCTGCAGTTGCCACATCAGCAGGTATCTTCCCCTGCATCATATCTGAAGCCAGATAACTTGTTCAATTGCATGTGGGTTGAGAAGCAGTGAGTCCAGGACCTGAGACCATCCATTCACCTGAAATTCTTCCTTGGTCACTTCTTCTTTGGAGGTGGCTTGGTCTTCTTTTTCAATCTGGTATACAAAAGAAAAAAAGAAAAATCCTTAACATTGGTAAGTGATGTACAACTCTCTCTTTGTGCTCAGACAACATAACTGAATTTTCAGACAATCTTTGCAGTTTATTTTTCTCTCACAACTCCAGCCTCAGACACCCTCTCTTTAACTTGCTCCATTCTGGTAATCTCTGGCCAAAATAATATGACAATATTTTTTCCCTGGCCTGAGTCTTCTCCTATTTTATATATAAAAATTATCACTATTCCTGGTTAGTCATTGTTGATCATTTTCAAATACAAAGGTAATTAAAGTACCCCCCCACACACACTCCTAGATAACACCAGTTTGCTACCCATACACATAAAGGTGTGAACATACAAACACATACAGATAGAGTATATGTTCTCACATTATAAAATTGAGACCATACTGATGTGTTCCTATTAGGGGTAGCCGGGATAAACTGTGTTCAAAGAGATAAACAACACCCAGTAAGATATTACTAATCAATGGCTGAAGACAAGCTTATCTAACTGAGGGATTGTATTACATTAACTGTAATTTATGTAGATAGCAGAACACTATTGAATCATTTCTGAAATGAAGCTTTGTTGAATACTCTCAGAATAGCATCAGAGTTATTGATTTTAAAAATGAACAAACAAAAAACACCAAGATCCATGCTTTAGGAATGTGGCATATCTTCCACTACATGTGGAGTTTACAAAGACCATAATAGCTTTCCTTGTCATTTGGGGAGTTTGAAAAACTAGAAATAAAATTCATAGTCAGGTGCTAAGTGAAATAGCAGTAAAAACATATAAAAACTAGTCATACAAATTGAAAAGGAAAAAATAAAACTGTCTCTATTGACAGACAATGTGATTATCAGTGGGGAAAACCCCAAAGAGTTTACAAAAAAATCTACTAGGACTAATAAGTGAGTTTAGCAGTATCATAGGATACGAGGTCAACATACAAAAATCAATTACATTTGATTATAGTATCAGTGAACAATTGGGAATTAAAATTTTTAAAGTACTATTTACAATAGCACAAAAAAAACATGAATTACATAGATATAAAGCAAACAAAATATGTGCAAGATATGTATGCTGAAAACTACAAAACAAGAAAGATCTAAATGAATGGAAATGTATACCACGTTCATGGGTTGGAAGATTCAGTGTTGTTACCATTCTCCAAATTGATCTATAGACTCAACACAATCCCAATCAAAATGCAATCAGGAAATGTAGAAATCGACACACTAACTTTATTATTTATATGGAAAAGTAGAGGAACTAGACTAGTCAAAAATGAAGAAAAATGTAGGATTCACACAAACTGGTTTCAATAATTACTATAAGACAGCAATAATCAAGATAGTGTAGAATTGGAAAAGGAACTATATTTAGATTAGTGGGACATAACAGAAAGTCCAGAAATAAACTCACACACATATGGTCAACTGATTTTTTATAAAGATACAGAAGTAATTCAGTGGAGAAAGGATAGTCTTTTCAACAAATTGTGCTGAAACAATTGGACATCTATATGCAAAAAAACTCGTATTCCACACAATTGATAAAATATTAACTCTGAATGGATAAATATACCTACATGGAAAATGTAAAATTAACAATTTTTAGAAGAAAATCTCAAGACCTCAGGTTAGGCAAAGATTTCTTACCTACAACGTAAAAAGCATGAATCATAAAAGAAAAGAGCTGATAAATTGGACTTCATGATAATGTTAAAATTTTATTCTTCAAAAGACATTGTTAAGAAAATGAAAATGCAAGCCACAGACTGGGAGAAAATATTTGTAAAACATTTATTTGTTAAAGGACTTATATCCAGAATACGTTGTTAAAATTCTCAAAACTTAATAATAAGAAACCAACAACCCATTTTTTTTTAATGAGCAAACACTTCACCAGAGAAGATATATGGGTGGCACATAGGCTCATGAAAAGAAATAGAACAGCGTTAGTCATTAAGTCGAGCAAGATTCAAAAGTTCAATCACCCAAACTCATAAAAGCAATAATGGAATCGGTGTGGCGGGCAGGACAACAGCCTGACCTGAGAGATCAGGCGATTTTCCTAACTCTGGTGTTATCTGGAAAATGATAGATTAATTTCTGATTTTGATTGGCTGAAGAGGCCAAAATTAGATTTCCAGGGTATAATCACTGGGAATAAATTAAGCATAATATATGTCTGGTGGAATTTCAACACAAACATGCAAAAAGTTTTTTCTACAACCTAACTACAACGCCTGTGTTTGCCACCCAGGGAAATAGAAGTAGGGCTTAGAAAAGGGCTAGTTTGCCCAATACTAAACAAAGAAAAGGAGAAAATGTAGAGTCTACCTCTTTTACATCAGGAAGAACAAAGAGAGGACAAGTCAGTCATAGAAAGTGTCCAGGGTAAATTGGGCCTATATGCCTGAAAAGCAGGCAGGCTATCTCCAGCTACTAGTTAAATCCTTAGCAGCTGGCCTTTATATTTCAAATTGTCAGTGCACACCTTTGGACCCCTAATATTAATAGCTTATAGGTTCATTTTTCAATTATGCAGGTGTTTATAATTGCACTGTACTTCAGAGGTCTTGCCAATTCTAAATAAATACATATAAATATGAATCTTTTCTTCTACAGCTACAAGGGGAAAGTAGAGTTGTTTCTACTTTATTAGAAATATAAACACATGGCCATTCAGCTGGTGGTCCTAGTCGCAAGCTTCAGAAGTGCCTAGCCATGGCTAGCCCTGTGCAGTGGGTATTCAACAAACCACCAAACCAGGTTTTGCTCCAATTCTAGACTCTAGATTTTAATTAGACCAAATGTATGGAGAATCTAAGGCCACTTTGCACCTTTAACAATCAGGAATCTTGGCTGGGCTTTGATTATTATCATCTGCTAAAACAAAACAAAAGAACAAAAAAGTGGCTGAAGAAGGAGAGGGATCAGGGAGATTGGAGCCACCAAATGTGGGCTGCGAGTGGAGGCAGCCAATCTCAGTGTTGCCCTCTGGAGAAAAGAGCAGCATCACCGAAGGATAGACCACTCATAAATGCCACCTGAGCAGCTGGCATCCATCATTTCCTTTGATTGCTCAGAGCCTGGTAGAATGCTATGGAAATAGTCTTGATAATTCATATTTGCAGAAAAAAAAAAACCGGTCCTCGAGGCTTTCAGTGTACAGGATTCAATTTGGTACAACAAGAAATGCTATGAAAGAATGAGTCAAAGTCTCTCACAGTACTGCCTAGATCAGTGTGACTGATTGACCCCAAACCAGCCACTCATAGCCTCAGCGGTTTTCAAAAAACCACGGATCCCCAGGGCCTAGCAGTGAAAGCCTGAGGAACCAAAAAAACTCAGCTTGGTAAACACCTCTGCTAACCTAAAAGGCAAAGACTACGTAGTGAAATCCTAAAACCTTGTAGAATTTAGAGTAGAATAAACTAGGTGGGTAATGCCAAGGCTTCATTCTATCAAATATGAGACTGCTACCATATTCAATCCAGAAGCAGAGAATCATGCCAATTGGATCTAAGATTAAATTAAATCCTGATTTTTGAGAAGACTCATCCGAGGAAGTTACTGAGGGCCAAAAGGCATTTGTCAAAACTGTTTAATCTCTAAATGCAGGACCTCGGTAACAGCACCATTTCAGAAAAGAAGTCCACATCAGAAGACCTTTTGGTTGCCCTTTCATCCAGGGCCATTTAGTAGCTCTGCTTAAGAATAAATTTGTTCCTGTTAACTTGCCTCCCACCACTGGGATTTGAGAGACTCAATCAGTAGGAAAAAAAGGGAATTGACAATATGGTGAAGCAATAGATCTGCAGCAGTACCTTAGGGCATTTGGGAATCTGAGAAGGAAAAATGAGTGTCTCTGATAAGGCTCAAATAGTGCAAATGCAATATTACATGGGACTTCTTACACTAAACTGAGTTTTGAATGAAGAGCTTCAGCTCTCTGCTCCCAGGGAAAGGAAAATGTCTGAGGAGACAATGACAACTTGTAGAGGTAACCTCCTCTGCATCCACTGAGAACACTGCAGTGAAGAAGTCAAAAAAGGCCAACACTAGGATATCCCAGCTGTTGAGTTTAGATGAATGAAACCAACAAGGCTGTGTCCAAACAAATCTGTGACTTAAATCTGTAAAATTTGCTTTGTCTTCCATATCTTTTTGATGTCCTGCTTCAACCCAGCCACCCAAAGAACCAGAGCTTCCTTCAGATGATGGCTTAAAGTCACCACCATAGATGACATACCTCTTGTATAATTAACTTCCTCTGCCTAGCTCATTTCCTAACTACTTCCATATATCAAGGAACTCTGGTGGCACACTGGTTAATGCATTCAGCTGCTAACCAAAAGGCAGGCAGTTTGAACTCACCAGCTGCTCTGCGGGAGAAAGATGAGGCAGTCTGTTTCTGTAAAGATTTACAGCCTTGAAAACCATATTGGGCAGTTTTACTCTATCCTATAAGGTTGCTGGGAGCTCTTAGTAGCTCTGCTTAAGAATAAATTTGTTCCTGTTAACTTGCCTCCCACCACTGGGATTTGAGAGACTCAATCAGTAGGAAAAAAGGGAATTGACAATATGGTGAAGCAATAGGTCTGCAGCACTACCTTAGGACCAAGTGCTTAAGGCACTTGACTGCTAATCAGAAGGCTGGTGGTTCAAACCCACCAGCCACTCCGCGGAAGAAAGACTGGGCAATCTACCTCCGTAGTGATACTGCCTCGGAAACCCAAGGAGGGGTCACTATGAGTTGGGTGCAACTCGATGGCACATAACAACAACAACAACAACAACATAGGGTTGCTATGAGTTGGAATCGATTTGATGGCAGTAGGTTGGTGGGTTTCCATATATCAGAACTTACTTGTCCTGGGCCTCTTTTACTCAGGCCATTTAGGAAGATGTAAATTAACAATTAGAGAGCCCTAGTGGTGCAGTGGTTAATCATTTGGCTGCTAACCAAAAGGTAGAGGGTTTGAACCCACCAGCTGCTCCATGGGAGAAGGATATGGCAGGCTGCTTTCCTAAAGATTTACAGCCTTGGAAACCCAATGGGGCAGTTTTATTCTGTCCTGTAGCATTGCTATGAGTCAAAATTAACTCAACAGCAATGAGTTTTTTAAATTAGTAACTCGGTAACCTAGTGTATGACTTTCTACTAAAGTTTTAGGGGCTAGTAGCCTGTTACTTCACAAGTTAAATTCATCTGACCTCACACTCTGTTTGAAGCTTTAACATTTGGTACCATAAATTTGGTAACTATTTATTTAATAGGAACTCTGGTGGCATAGTGCCTAAGGCATTCAACTGCTAACCAGAAGGCTGACGGTTCAAACCCACCAGCCACTCCTCAGAAGGATGGTTGGGCAATCTACTTCTGTAATGATACTGCCTCAGAAACCCCGGGAGGGGTCACTATGAGTCAGGACCAACTTGACGGCAGTGAGTTTGATTTTTTTGGTATTTCTTTAATACACATCACAGATATCTGGATCATTAATGTATGAATTACTTTGATCAAAAGATATTCCATGTGCTACCTGAGTCACTATCTCCTCAGGAAGGTGGTGGTGGGGTGCTTGTTGAAAGTGCTTATTGCCAGGCCTCACCAGTGACCTAATCAATTGGATTCTCTGAGGACATCCTTAAAACACTTCACAGTGAATTTTTATGCATACTAAATGCATAAATATCAATGATGTCCATATGCAGTAATGCGCTATACAAGTGCTGGGTATCAGAGTGGATAGGAGAAACTCAAATACAAATTGTACCCATTACTAACTTATAAAATAGATATAGTTCCAAATATTAAAAGGACTAAAATGTCAGCCTGCCTAAAATGGAGCAGATGAACATGTCTTTCTGACTTCCCAAACCTTCTATTCCTCTCTACATGCATCACCCTTTCCTTATCCTGTACTCATCTTAGCTAAACTTTCTCTGTAAAGCTCCAAATTCCTGTGGCAGAGCCAATAACTCACTGCTCAGAGGTCCCATGGCTCAAGGCACATACTGTGATTCTCTTGTTTGTTCCTGGTGAATCACAACCAACTTGGCTTGTTCACTGCCATATTCTTTTCTGCAGCATGGTATATGGAACTCTACAGGTAAGTAATAAGGTTTGTTGACTAACTGAATGAGTGAGTGAATAAGTGATCTTGCCAATGAGATTAAATCAGATGAAGAGTATTAGAAAGACAGATACATGTCATGACTTACACACACACAGACACTCCCTTGGAGTCACCATACCTCCTCTCTCTGGGGCACGGGAATTGAGGTATTCATTTATGTAATCTGTTACTTCAAATAATATTCTGAATTGATAAATTAAATTATCACTTCCTGTCCTACTACACAAAGGAAACAATGCCATCTGAAGAACTGTATCAGTAGCAATTGTGTAGAAGGAAAACAGAAACCACACTAGGTATTTCAAACAAAGGGGATTTAATGCAGGGAATGGATTACACAGGTTTGGTAAGGCTGAAAGAGGGCCATTGAGATAGCTCAGATATTAGCAAATATTGGAAGTAGCTACTAACCTTAGGACTGGGGAAACAAAAGGGAAGAGATGGTGTTACCAGACCCTAGTAGCCTTGATGGGGGAACCCCCACGGCTGGTGCCTGGACCTCTTTGGGGGGAGCTGCGCGGCTGTTGCTTGGGCTTCTGAGGGGGGCGCTGCTTGGCTGGTGGTGGTCGGACCTCTGGGCGGGGGCGTGGCTGACGCTCAGACCTCGGAGGGGACCGTGGCTTGGCTGGTGCTCTGACCACCGCGGGGGGTGCAGCTGGCTGGACCTTGGGCCTCTGAGGGGACGTTGCACGGCGGCTGGTTCTGAGAGGGCCAAAAGAAGCTGGAGGCTGGAGCCATGGCTCTCTTCTGCTGCTTAAGGGATGCTGACAGGAGCTGGAAACAGGAAGGACGACCCGGCTCCCCACCCCCACCCCCACCGTCCAATCTCCCTCTAGTGCCTTCCAGTGGCAGAATTTAACTGGGAGCCAACTGTCACGGGGCCTGGGAAAGTGTGGTTTGCAGAGTCCGGGTCCCAGCATCACAGAGCGCAGTACGAAGGGAGGGCTTGTAGCTGAGAGACAACACGCGAGTACTCACTCAGTCCAAGTGCTGAGTGGGCAGTGTGTACCACTTACCTGGTCTTCTGGCAGGCACAGCAGATCCAGTCCTCTTCTTTCTTCTGGTAGAAGCAGCCACTCTTGCAGATGCTGTATTTACGATCCACAATCTCCCGTTTGGAGTTGAGGAAGGTAAATGGCGGGCAGCAGTGTATGCTGAAGTGCTCAGAAAACTTCTGGTTCTTGGAGAGCCTGGGGCCGTCCTTTGCCATTCTCTGACTCATCTTACTGTAAATTGTCCATGCAGGGAGAGATAGGGAGACATAAAATATCAGGCAAAAGAGGTTTCTACCCAAGGAACCCTCTCTCTGTGATTCCCAGAGTCCAAATTAATATCTAGGGTTGCCCTACATAACAACAAAAGTCTGGAAGATCAATTTTGCACCCAATTAGATGGAAAGGAACTAAATTGGGTTTATTATTTTTTGTATGTGTCTTTTTAAATCATATTTTCTGAGAGAGTGAGTAACATGGATTCTTTTTTCCTTATTTTCAATAGACCAATTTAGAATAGGAAAAATATTACAGAACCAAATAAAAACATGGTGAAATAATATTCTGGGTCTAGGAAAGGCCTTTTCTCTAAACAGCATTCTTTATTTTTAAAACCATAATCACTCTTCATACAATAAAATGGTGCACAACAATGAAAAAGAACAAATGAATAAGACATGTCAATATGTTTAAATCTCACACACTGTTGAACAAAAGAAGCTGGACACAAAAAAAATGCAAACTGTATCGTTCTATTTATATGACATTCAAAATCAGACAAAACTAATTTATGATGACAGAAATCAGAAGATGGTTATGCTTGGAGGAAGTGGGGTCTGACTTTGAAGAGGCACCTGGAAGACTGCTGAGAGCTGAAAATGTTCTGGATCTTGATCAGAGAGGTGATTATATGGGTGCATACATATATAAGGAGCCCTGGTGGCCCAGTGGATAAAGTACTAAACAATCCATCAGCTGTTCCATGAAAGAAAAATGAGGCAGTCTGCTTCTGTAAAGATTCACAGCTTTGGAAACCCTGTGGAGCAGTTCTACTCTTTCCTATAGGGTTGTTATGATTCAAAATAGACTATGGCAGTGGGTTTGGGTTTTTTTAAATATACATATGTAAAAATCCAATGATCTGCATGCTTAATTTTTGTGCATTTTACTATATAAAAGTTTTACTTCAGGAGGAGAAGGAAGAAGAAAATGAAGGAACTAAAGAGAAATTTGAGGCTTAAAAAAACTCCAAAAAGGGAAGAGGGTATTAAAAAGCTTATTACCACAACATCTCCTCTAGAAAAGTGACAAATGCAAAAATAGTTCTACCTACTCTCCAAAATACTGAAGCACACAGGGGGCTTAAATGACAACAAACAAGAGCATACACACACACGCGCGCACACACCCACACACACATATGGTGGGTACATCCTGAACACGGAAAATGTTCCTGCTGTCCACATACTCAAAGTCAATATACATTGCAAGTGCTCTTTTCCATTGCGTCACCTGCTTTTATCATGCAAAGATAATTAGTTTTATGTGATTAAATTGTTAGTCCTGATTCAGACCTTCATGCTTTACTTAGGAAGGTCTTGCCTTCTCCATCAGCATTTAAACACCAGAGTGCCTGCATTTAAACATAGGCACATATATCCCATCTTACATGAAAATCCTCTCCACATCTATTTGCCTCCCTCTAACTCATCTCAAGGAGTTCTGGTAGCGTAGTGCCTAAGGCACTTGATTGCTAACCAGGAGGCTGGTAGTTCAAACCCACCAGCCACTCCTTAGAAGGAAGGTTGGGCAATCTACTTCCATAGTGATACTGCCAAGGAGGGGTCGCTATGAGTCGGGTCCAACTCGATGGTACATAACAACAACAACAACAACTCATCTCAATAGGAGCTCTGGTGGCATAGTACCTAAGGCATTTGACTGCCAGCCAGAAGTCTAGAGGTTCAAACCCACCAGCCACTCCTCAGAAGGAAGACTAGGCAATCTACTTCAATAGAGATATCTCATCCAAAACCCAAGGAGGGGTTGCTATGAGTCGGAACCAACTTGACAGCAGTGAGGTTTTTTTTAGTAACTCATCTCACTATCACCAAAGTTCTTGAAAAAGGATCAATATTCTTTCCTCTATTTCATATCTACCATTTGCTACTCAATGCACTCCAATCTCCCTCCTGTTCCTTTCCTGTCAAGTACAAATGAGTCTCCATAGCTCCCCCAAAGACCTCCATGATGTTAAACCCAGTTGTCTTCTTATTTGATCCCTCTCTCCATCTAAACCCTTCCCTTTCCTGTGATACCACATTCTCCTAGACCTCTGCCTCTATCTTTGCTCCTTCCTTCTCACTTTCTCCTATAGGTTCATATGCTTTCCATAAAATTTTAGTGTTAGAGTTCTTCAAGATAAAATAAATACTAAGTGATTCATGGGATTATCTTCAACCATTAAATTCAGAAGTTATTAAATATGTAAGTTGTACCAGGCCCAGGGCTCAGCTGCTGTAATGGACACAAAGCTGAATCATGTTTAGTCTACTTCTCAAGAAATTTATCCACTAGCTGGAGAGACAGGTATGTACATGACATGGTGCACATAGTGTGCTAAAAGCCACAAAACCCGTTTATTGAGTCCAAATATGTATGATTCACTGAGGAAAATTAAGGGATAAATCAGATAGCCATCTCCTCACAATTGTTGCATAGACATCAGTAAGTGCAATATAAGGGACAATATGCTGTGGAACATGAAAATGTGTGAGTAAAATGACATAGGAGGTTCATGAGAAAAGAGGCAATATGTTGAGCTGGAGAGACAGATATAAAACTTCAAGGGTACAAACATTTTCTGGCCCTAAGATCTGTCAGTCAGAAATAAAGGCTTTTGGAGGGATGGGAATGGTTGGTACTTAAGGAAAGATACAGAGGAGTGAATGATAATACCCTGAAGCACAGAGTGTTGGGGACAGCGGGGTGATAGGATGCAAGTGTGGGGTAGGAGAGGAGGTGATCCTGACCATGAAGTTTCTGGAGTCCCTGGGTGGTGCAAATGATGAATGGGCTCAGCTGCTAACCAAAATGCTGGAAATTTGAGCCACCCAGAGGCACCTTGGGAGAAAGACCTATTGATCTGCTTCTGAAATCTCAACCACTGAACACCCTGTGGAGCAGTTTCACTGTGACACACGAGGTCATTATGTGTTGAAGTTGATTGGACAACAACTTTATTTTTCCCCAGTGAAGTTTCTAGCCCTAGTGACAGAGAGCATGGTCATGTCATCAGCTGATCAGAGAGTAAAACAAAACAAAAAGAAAAGATGAGGGGAGGGAAGATTATCTCATTGGTCCAGGCTACTGTAAATTTAAGGTGCCCGGGACTTGCATACAGAAATGGCATCCAAAACTCAGGAGCTACAGCTATCATTTTGAGAGTCCAACTCATGGGAAGAAGCACAACCTTGGGAACCTATGGACTAAGTGAGGAGGGAGAAAAGGGAAGGCTCCTGGGAGGAGTAATGGGCCTGCCTCCAGGCTGCAGGAAGAGGAGCCAGGAAAGAAGGAGCAGCAGGGTCAGTCAGAGAGCTGGAAGGAGTAGCATCCTCTCAGAAGAGAAACTTTGAGGAAGAACCACCGGGCAGCAGTATCCAAAGAAGCCCTTTGACCAAACAGGCATTTATAAACCAATAAGGAACTGCAGCTGATTTATAGGGTCTGAATCACCATAAAAACCCTAAAAATCTGCCAAATGCCTACCTAAACACTGCACTTGCTCTAAAGCTCAGCTCAAGTTTCTCCCGTGAGAAATAATGAAATGTAACACTTCAGTACTAACCTGTAGTCTACACATAAATACTGTTACTAAACTTTTTACAGACCCCATACATCCCCAATTCCTCTAGCCATCTGGGATCCAAATGGCTCAGGCACTTATCCAAAATAACACAGAAAATCTAGCTGTTGTTGTTGGTATGTGCCGTCAAGTTGGACCCGACTCATAGCTACCCCTCCTTGGGTATCTATCTGAGGCAGAATCACTACGGAAGTAGATTGCCCAACCTTCCTTCTGAGGAGTGAGCCAGTCTTCTGGTTAGCAGTCAAGTGCCTTAGGCACTACGCTAATTGCCCCAAATGCCTGACATGGGCTGAGAGAGGGTTTGAAGCTTCTCAGTTGTCTGTGACTCAGAATTCCTGCTCTGACTGAATTTTCAATTCCCACCCACTGTCCCACCTGACATGATGGCTGGATCCACTCTCTGTCCATCCAGACTCCTGCCAAGCCATATTTTCCTCTAGCACACCAGGGGACTAGTTGTCATCAAATCAACTCTTACTTACAGAGTTACTTGTAAATTACTAACAACAGAGAACTAACATTGTCAGGTGTCATTGAGTCAATTCCAACTCATAGTGACTCCATGTGGCAGACTAGGTTGGTTCTATAGAGTTTTCCAGACTGTAACGTAATCTTTTTGGGAGCACACTGCTAGGTCTTAAAAGATAACCTGGTAGCACAGTGGTTAAGCACTTAACTGTCAACCAAAAGGTCAGTGGTTGAGCCTACCAGATGCTCCACAGGAGAAAGATGTGCCAATCTGCTTCTGTAAAGATTACAGTCTTGGGAATGCTGTGGACCAGTTCAACTCTGTTCTATAGGGTCTCTGTGAGTCAGAATCAACTCAACAGCAATGGGTAGGTTGGGTTTTGTTTTCTTTCTGCCACAAAGTGACTGGGTGGGTTCAAACAGCCAACCTTTGGGCCCATTGTACCACCAGAGCTCCTTGATTAATATTTACTGAGCACCTATTATAGGTTGGTTGCTTTTCATGTTTTATCTTGATTTTAAAATATGGCATTATCATCAGCAAACTTGGATTCATAAAATCAGTAAGAGGCACATAGGAGAATTGAATCCATATCTGTGTGACTCCAGCATTCCATGTTCTTTGACTAGGTCCTATATGGCTTGATCCACCCTATGCTCATCCCTCCTCTCCAAGGAGCAGGAGCTCAGATTCTGCCCAAATTGGACTTTAGGGGACTAAAGATGGGCCCAAGGATGACATAAGGCTACAGGGCACAAGTTTATGTCCTAGGGTGAAAAAGATAAGAAGTTAGGGAAAAGGCATAACTAAGGCTTCACTCCAGAAGAGAAAGTTAGAGAATTGAAATTAGAGACTTTACAAGATGACAGCTAGGACTTCCCTTCTAGAAAAGA